TCCCAAAGTAATGAAAAATCCCTCTTGGAAATGGGGTTGCTGGTTTGTTGGGGCACAACTTTCTGAAGTTCAGTTGATTCTGGTGTGGGACATTATGGGGCTGCTGTATTGTAGTACTCAAGTCCCTTGCAGAAGGGTTCCTTCAAGTAAGCTGCTGTGAATGTCAGTCGACTGAACCTTGGGGCTTTGTGACCCATTAGCTAGGGCCAACTTGCTTCCTCCCAATGGCCTGTCTAGGTTCTAGAATCCACATAAAGCCAAGGAGAACAAGGAATCCAAAACGATTGAGATTGTAATCCTCCATGATGGAGGAAGTGGGGGCATTTGCAAACAGGCCATCCAGGTGGTGAAACTGTCAATAACCTGCAATACAAATTGCTGAGAGACTGCTCAGAGCAGGGTCTGGTGCTGGGGCTGGAGAGCCTGGCTGTCGGCTCAGAGCCTTGGTGACCCTGGGGCTCCAGATTTCATTTATAAAAGGATAATAGAATTGTTGGAACATTAGCTGAGAAAACCTCTGTTCCTGGAGCTCTTACTTTGAATAGAAGTCTCTACACTGAACTGAACTGAAATTGAAAAGCCTGTGTAATGCAGTGGCTGAGCCTGGCCAAACAGTCAGAAGAACTGTGATGTTCATGATTCACTTGACAAAGTCTGTCTTGTGAAAATATTGTTGGGTTGGGGCTATAGCTCACTGGAAATGCATGTCTTGTTTTTATTCACAAAATTGAAAGGAACTGTCAGATCTGTTGGCTGTTTTACTGTTTCTAAGTAAAAACCTAGGAGTTATTTTCTCCAGGATAGGGCTGCAGAATAGAGCCACTAGACCCTGAGCCTACTGATTTGGCTAGGCTGACTGGCCTATGGGTTCCAGGGATTCTCCCTTCTCTGATTTCTAGCACTGGGGTTAAATGTGTACACTACCACACATGGCTTTTTATGTGGGTGCTAGGAATCCGAAATCAGGTCCTCATGTTTCTATTGCAAGCACTTTGCCAAATGACACCCTATCATCCTTGTAATACTTTTAATACCTCTCCATGTGTGGGGAGGTATCTGGTAAGATACACTGTCCATACAGCAAATTCTGCTCTGTGGATGATAGTCTCTATTTCATTTTTTCTTGCTGTAATATAATATTTAAATATTTCAGCACAATATTTCACAGGGTCTTTGAAAACACCATGCCTTTCTTCAATAAAACAGAAATAAAACAAAACTTTTCTTTTGGGAGCTGGAACCCAGGGCTAGGCATATAATCTACTACTAAGCTACAACTGTAGCCAACACATAGTTTTGAAAGATAGCGTTCTCCCCTGTCCCATTTCTTCCTTCAGACCAGAAGTGTTGCCTTTTAAGATTTAGCCCTGAGCCCTCTGACATCCTCTCTGCATATTCTCTCTCCAGCCACACTTATGATTATAACTGATCTCAAATTCACCCAAGAGAAATGTTTCCTCTTCCCTAAGTGTATGTAGAGACTCTCCTGTTTGTTTTTGCAACTAAACCAATCAAAAGATGAAAAATAGATTTTGTCAAGTAAATTGCCTGTATTTATGGTTTTAACAAAGGTTTTTACCAAGTGTAGTTGCTTTATGGTATAGCTTTTCAGTTTCATTTAAATTCGGTGTAGAATGTAAGTATCCCACTAAAAGTGAAAGCTTAAACACCAGAGATCATCCTCTCCCAAAGCACATCTTTATGAATACCTGATGGGTGTGAAATCAGAATGTCAGAGACATCTATCTGTACTTCCATGCTCACTGCAGCCCTATTCCTAATAGCTAAGAAATGGAAGCAACTTAGTGTCCGTTACAGATAAACGGGTAAGGAAAATACTTACAGTGGAATACTGTTTGGCTTTGAGAAAGGAAATCCTGCCTTTTACAACAACATAGGTGGTACTGAGGGCATTAAGTGATCTCATTATATATGGGATATAAAATGTTGAACTCAGCTGGTGTGGTGGTACAGGCCTTTAGTTCCAGCACTCAGGAGGCAGAGGCAGGTGGATTTTGGTGAAATCAAGGCTAGCCTGATCTGCATGGAAAGTTCCAGACCAGTTGGGGCTGTAGGGAGGCCCTGTCATAAAAAGAGAAAAAAAAATTGAACTCCTAGAAATGGAGAGTAAAATGGTGGTTATCAGGAGCCAGGGCTGGATGATTGGGGAGCTATTGGTTAAAGGACATAAAATTTCTGTTAGACCAAGACCAAGAAACAAATTCTAGAGACCTATTGTATGTCATGGGTATAATACTTAGTGACAAAATTTTATGTCCTTGAAAAATTTACAAAAGTAATTTTTTTGTTTTGTTTTGTTTTTGAGACAGTGTTTCCCTGTAGCCCCAGCTGACCTGGCCTGGAACTCACTATGTTGATCAAGCTGGACTCGATCTCATAGAGATCTGCCTGCTTCTGCCTCTTGAGCACTGGGATTAAAGCAATGCACCATCACGCTGGCTATAAGAACAAAACTCATGAATTCTAACAGAAATAGATGAACTTGTTTGAGGCAGTGCACGTGGGAACCATTTTGAGTTAGTCATTTTGAGGTTGCACATATCAGAACCATGCTGTACACCATAAAATTGCACAAGTTTTCTGTGTCAATTACAAAAAGGATCAAGATAAATAATAGTCGAATTAGGCCTATTTCATAATAATAACATTTTACTAACAAAAATGGATCTAGGACAAATACTAATTCAGGGTGCTGGGAAAACAGTGTCATCTGTGATAAGAGTAGTGAAGGCTCCCCTTGTCCATAAAGCACCTGTAATCTGGCCCAGTTTCACTATCGCCACAGTTCCTGGCCCTGGGCTCAGCCCAGCTGGTTCTGGTTTTGGGAGGCTCCTGGTGCCCTTCCATGCTGGGCATTTTCTGCCCTGTATCTTCCTCGCCTGACTAAGTCCTCTCACCTCACCACACCAACTACCAGCATCATTTCCTCCAGGTACCATCCCTTCAGTGTGCTTCCCATTTTCAGTATGTAAGTCACTGCTCTTTCTTTACTGTCTCAAAACATCTTGTCCAATGTCCTGTTAGGTCAAACTCCTGCATCTTGAGTGCTATCACCTCCTATGGTGGCAATCATTAGATAAGCTCATCTATGCTGGGTTATAATCAATGGTGATGAATTGTCTGGCTGTTCCTGCAAACATATTCTCTTGAGGCTATTGGGAGAGAGTGATGTTTTTTTGGACAGGGTTTCCCTAGTCCCAGCCCCTGGAGTCACAATGTGGACCAGGCTGGGCTCTGTCTCACAGAGATCTACCTGCCTCTGCCTCCACTGGGTTTAAAGGCATGTGCCACCATGTCCGGCCCAATATTTAATATTTTGGATGAGAAAGTATATGTGTATAGCTTTATAAATGTAGACTGACAGTGGTAATGTACACTGCACACTTTCACTGATGGGAAGCTTTGTCATAATCATTGGAGAATGCTGCTGTAGAGGTGTGCTGATATCCCAATGAATACATGTCTGAGCCTTCTGGCACTATGACATGTATCAAGTGCTTCCTGCTTCTATTCACCATTCTGTAGACTGAAGGCATCAACAACCTCCCCACAAACCATTTTATGGGTTTGGGATGACTATTAATGTCCTCATTTTATGGATGGAAATGCTGAGCTGGAGAATCAGGCTCAAGGCCAGCTGAAAAAGAGCAAATTCACACTGGAACCATGTCATCTGATTTGAGGAGCCTGTTGCTTACTTCTTGCTCTGTACTGTGCCATATTCTTGCACCCCTCTGCTCTACATGGTGGACACATAAAGCTTCTGGGAGGAGAAGGGGCTACATCTGTCTTGGTCATTGTGGCTCCTTTAATAAATAGTTTTCTTTATATTTATTTTTAATTTTAAAATTGTGTATCTCTGTGGGTATTTGAGTGCAGGTGCCCATGGAGGCCAGAAGCAGATCCCCTGGAGCTGGAATTAGCGGCAGTTGTGAGCCACCTGACATGGGTGCTGGGAACCATATGTGGGTCTTCTGCAAGGGCCACTGAGCAATCTCTCTAGATGCAATAAATAGTTCTTTAAAAAAACATTATGATTATTTTTATTTTATGTGTATGAGTGTATTATGTGTGTAAGTGCACCCATGTCATGCAATGCCCACGGAGTCAGAAGAAGGCGTCAGATACCCCTGGAACTGGAGTTATGGATGGTTGCTAGCCTCCATGTGGGTGCTGGGAATCAAACCGTGGTCCTGTGCAAGAGCAGCCGGTGCTCCCAAATGCTGAGCCATCTCTCCAGCTTCCAACAAATAGTTCTTAAATGAACAAACAGGGCTTATCATCACCTCTGATGGGGAATTTGGATAAGCAGTTTACAAATTTTAACTTGAAACCATTTTCCCCTGAAATAAATGAATATGATGAGAAAGTGGCTTGAGTTAAACTGTCAGTTCTATGTTTAGAAACTGTACATGAGAAGCCTGTACCACCCTAATACTCATGAGTCACTTATGAGTCCTAGCTCACCCTGACATGACTAATGCCTTCCTTTGTCACTAGTGCTTGATAATAGGAATAGTGACCCTTGCTGGGTGGGGTACAGCTCAGTGTAGAGCACATGCTAGGCAGCATGAGGCCATGGTTCAGGCTTCTGCACTATGACCCTCAAGTAAATCAGAGCAATAACAAAGTACCCCAAGCCCTCCAGAACCTCAAATTTTCCCTGTGTGCTCTCTGAGGTATCCCTCAGACATGTGTAACTTTAACACAGCGACAAGAGCAGCAATATCAATGGCAACAAGAGGGGATGGGGCAAAGAGGGGCAGAGCTTGTGGGCTTCTGCTGCTCTTGGTCTTTGGAACAGGATAGGTTACAATTTCTAGGTTATTCTGGGCATTAATAAAGGTCTTTTGGTTTGGCCAAGTAAGTTTGTGATTCCATCAACATCTAAAGGAGTATTAAGAGAGTTTGTAAGTCCTGTGTTTTAGCATTCTATTTAAATTATGACATACTGTTTTTCTTCCCTGTTTTTCTTTTAGGGTCTTTCAAGACACTTACTCTTCCATCAGTAAGTATCCATTTCAAATTTTTGGTTTCAAAAGATAAATAAAAATATAAAGAAGTTGGTTTCAGAAATATGTTGTATCCAAATAACTTTTTATTGGCTTTTATCTCAGTTTACATTGCTTGTAAATTTGGCTTGAGTTTTGTTCAGTGTTCAGATTATTTAAGAACAATACTACTTTAGAGAAATGAGTTACTTTGTTCTTGAAACTCCAGCAGAGATTTTTCCTCTGTCAACTAAAGCACCTCACTGTTTGGCCCCACTCCTGCATTGATGAGAGGTTCAGTCATTTTCTCTTTTTTATATTTCTTAATTTTATGTGTATGACTGTATTGCCTGCATGTATGTAAGTGCACCCATGTAGGTCAGAGAAGGACATCGGACCCCCTGGAACTGGAGTTATGGACGGTTATTAACCACCACGTAGGTGGTGGGAACTGACCCCAGGTCCTCTGCAAGGGCAGCCAGTGCTCTTAACCACTGAGCAATCTCTCCAGCAGGCCTCTCGCTCTCTCTCTCTCTCCCTCTCTCCTCTCTCTCTCTCCCTTTCTTTTACTTCCCTTCTTTCTTTACTTTTTTCTCTTTCTCCCCTCTTTCTCTCTTTTCTTTTGTGGGCTTTCAAGATCTGTTTGCCTCTACCTCCTGTCTGCTGGGATTAAGACGTGCCACCACGCCTGGCTGCTTTTCAATCTTGAATGTGCCCTAATCATAACTAGTTTCTTAGCCTTTGAAAAGGTAAAGGCTTGTGGGGCTATGTTGGAACTTGAAGCAAAAGAAGTCAGTGAAAAACTTGGTTGAAAATTTTCACTTTTTTTGACTACATAATTTTGTATTTTTAAATATTGTATCAAAATATGATCTTGATTAATTTTGCCTCCTTTATTCTTGGCTCTGGAGAGGAGATAAAGATGCCATCTCTCTGTAAGGATGGCTTACACTGACTTGAGATGTGGAAGCCTGGGGAACTCTACTATGTTTTTTTTTGTTTTGTTTTTTTGAAGCAGGGTCTCCCTGTAGCCCCAGTTGTACTGGAACTCACTATGTGGACCAGGCTGGCATTGAACTCACAATCTGCCTGGCTCTGCCTCCCAGGTGCTGGGACTACAGGTGTGTGCCACCACGCCCGGGAAATCCACTATGGAAATGGGAAGTGGTGATTGTTTTCTTGAGACAGTCATCAAACCTGATTTTTAAGACTTTGAACCAATCCTACTTCCTATGGCTTTGACTTGGAAGCTTGTATTTTTATTACTGTGCTTTGCTTTTGGGCTTCTAATAATTAATGTGAACCACAGCATCTAATGAGAAAGCGCAGTTTGTTTAGCTTTTCTGGGAATAGATGACTAATTACTTTGGTCCTGACTTCCTACATATGCAGGATCACTTCACAAGCCAGACTCACTTAATCACCTCTTGAGAGTTACCTGTTAAGATCATTCCAAAACCACATTCATTTTGGAGGGTTCCTGAGAAAATTGTGCCTCAAATAATGCTGCATTAGAATTTCTCATATGCATAGATGTCTAGCATGTTTGTACTTTCCTTTCTGAGAAAGATATTGTTGCTAACAGAAGAAGAGGTATGGGGGAAGAATGAGGACAGACACGAGTGGGGGCCTCTACTCCTGCTGACATTAGATTGCATTAGTATGACCCAAAGCTGCAGACTCTCACCCCAGTGCCTGGACGCGTAGTTCTAAGGCAATGTTCAAATAAATCCTGTATAATGTAACTGCCTTGTGGCAGTAGGAGGGTGGAGTTAAGTTCAGGAATCACGGCATAAAGCCTAGCACCTGCTTGGATGCCTCAGAGCATAGACAGGCTGGAAGGAGAAAGGAGGCAAAAGGAGGACAGTTTCTTCAAAAAAATTTTTTGATTTATGTTTATTTTATATGTACGAGTGTTTTGCCTGCATGTATGTTAAGTGCACCCAAACCATACAGTGCCTGTGGAGGCCAGAAGGGGGCAATTGATCCCCTGGAACTGGAGTTACAGATGGTTGTTAGCTGCCATGTGGGTACTGGGAACCAAACCCAGGTCCCCTGCAAGAGCAGCCAGTGCTCTTAACTGCTGTGACATCTCTCCAGGCCTGAGAGTTTCTCATTAGAACCCCATATTTATAAACTGCTTATTGCAACACTTCAGCCGGTGATTTGTCTACCATCTACTTCTTTTAACTCCAAAGTATATGTCTTCTGTCTTCCTTAACATGCTAGTTCCATTATATGGACTATAGCAATTATTTATTGAAAGCTTCAATAGGAACTATATTTAAGAGTATAGCCATCTTTAGAAAATGCACATTATAAGAGATAAAGTCATAAAATGATAATACTTGGCAAAAAAAGATTCTGAATTTTCATGAGGTTTTAATTAAATAGTACTCAACTTTTAAAAAAAATTTAAATTATTTATATTTTTATTTATTTTTTATGTGTATGAGTGTATTGCCTGCATGTACGTGAGTGCATCCATGTTGTGCAATGCCTCGGAGGTCAGAAGAGGGCTTCGGATTCCCCTGGAACTGGAGTTAAAGATGATTCGTAGCCACTATGTGGGTGCTGGGAATTGAACTTGGGTCCTCTGCAAGAGCAGTCAGTGCTCTTAACCCCTGAGTGGTCTCTCCAGCCCCACGAGTACTCAAATTTTAAAGTGTCATTGCATTTTGTTGATTATAAACAGAATACTTTAAATGACCTTAAGTGTTTACTATAAAACATGACTATTTTAAGACTTTATTAAGACAAATGGAATTTAGCTGAGTTATTAGTATTTCAATCATATAAATAGTTACAATAAGAATAAAATGAAACCCATAATTAATGCTTAATGTTAAGATTTTTTTGTATAAAATGTGATAGAAATTTCTCTTTTATTTTTTTCTAAATAAATTCAACTTAAAACGAGGGAGTGGTTTTATTTAAATGAAAATGCCTTTAAGGGATGCTTGCCTAGCATGTATGAAGTCCTGGGTTCAATTTCTAGCCACCACAGAAGCTGAGCATGGTGCACATGCCTGTGATCCTACCACTTAAGAGGTGGAGGCAAAGAAGATCAGAAATTCAGGATCATCCTCAAATACACATCATTTTGAGACTAGTCTGGGCCGTATAAGACCCTGTCTAGAAAAAAAGAAGCCTTTGAGATATATTTAATCCAGATATGGTGATGCATGCCTACAATTGTAGCTACTTGGGAGGATAAGGATTACAAATTTAAAACTATTCTGAACACAGTGAAAAAGTTGTTTTGAATAGAATTACTAATTTAGAATTACTAATTTAAAACTTTTTTATTGTGGGGCTGGAGAGATGGCTCAGTGGTTAAGAGCACTGGCTGCTCTTGCAGAGGACAGGGGTTCAATTCCCAGAACCACATGGTGGCCAACAACCATCTGTAACTCCAGTTACAGGGTATCTGTCGCCCCCTTCTGGCCCCCATGGGCACTGTATGGTTCAGGTGCACTTAACATACAAACAGGTAATACACGCATATACATAAAATAAAAATATGACATGGGTGCACTCACATACATGCAGGCAATACACTCATACACATAAAATAAAAATAAAAATAACAGATAAAATATTTTAAGAATTTTTATTGAGAATTTCATACATGCATATAAGGTGTTTTGATCAAATCCATGCTCCCTCCCCTCCAACTCCTCCCGTATCTCCTCATCACTTTTTTGCTAAGAGGCCCAAGGACATTTTGACTTTTAGCCAAGAACTGGCTACTTTTCTTTGGGGTCTTTTTACAATAACTGCTGAGCCAATTCCTACCTCCTATTCTTTTTTTCTTTTTTTTGATATTTTACTTATTTTTATTTTATGTGTATGAGTGTATTGCCTACATGTATGTGAGTGCAACTGTGTCATGAAATGCCACAGAAGTCAGAAGAGGGCTTCAGATTCCCTTGGAACTGGAGTTAAGGACGGTTCGTAGCCAACATGTGGGTGCTGGGAATCAAAACCCTGGGTCCTCTGCAAGAGCAGTCATTGCTCTTAACCGCTGAGCCATCTCTCCAGCCCCCCTGCCTCCTACTCTTATCACATTGTCCTCTGAAAGTGGTTACCCAGCTTGTGGATAAGGAATCAGGTTGCAGGCTGCTCTGGCTTCTTCCATGCTAAGCAATTGGAGTACCCCTTCAGTGGGTCTATCTAAAAGACTCCCAAATTGCACAACTCTTATTTGTCTAGGGAAAAGAAAGTCTTTGACTGGTGAATAGGAGATGTGAAGGAGAAGTAAAGACAAGAGTAACTAGCATTACAGGTTCTAGACAGGAAACTAGAAAAAAGTCAGAACAGGGAAATTTTCAAATGTTCATATGAGAAAATGTTCGTTCCATTGGAAATTCTTGACAAGAGCTTCCAAGAGCTGGAACTTGCAATATTACATTCTGTTATCTCAACCAAGACCTCATTTCTCAGATTCTTTTAATTAGATTCTAGTTCTCTGACTCTTTGGCCTCTCTCTGGTTTAAATAAGCCCCTGCATCATTAACTTAACCTCAGTCTTCAATCTATCATCTATTCTGGGGCCTCTGTGCCACTAACTAAAAATTATTGAACTATGTACAAACCACAAAGAGAAATCCCATAGCAGCCAGTTCTTTAACTGCTGAGCCCATATATGAACTATTTTAGTCATAACAAAGGAAGTCATGAACCTGTGTTTTTTAAAATACATCAGAAAGACCATAAATAAATAATAAATAATAAATAAATAATAAATAAACAAATAAATAATAAATAAATAAATAAATAAGAATATTAATTCAAAAATCTTGGGCTGGTGAGATGGCTCAGTGGGTAAAGGTGCTTGCTGCCAAGCCTGATGACCTGAGTTCCATCCCTAGAGCCCCCTTGGTGTGAGGGGAGAATCAGCTTCCGATGGTTATCCTCTGACCTCCACCATGCATGTGGGGGAAGGAAGGGCTGGGAGATTTATGCAATTTTTGTTCCTTCTCTAATCTGAACTGAAACATCCAGCACAGGTAGAGGTCCCTAGCAGGGATGCATTGCCGCCCCCCCCCCCCCCACCCCACAAACCCAAAAAAAAAAAAAAAAAAAAAAAAAATTAAAAACCCCACCCGAAACCAAACCACATGCTATAGGCACAAAATGAATTGTAAAGAACTCTTACCACTAGCACCATTCACACAGAGATAGAAGGTACACACCAAGTTCCAGGTCAGCCTGAGCTACAGGGTGAGACCCTGTTTCAGAAAACAAACAAACAAACAAACAAAAAAAAACCCAAAATAAACAAAAACATATGGACAGGCAGTAGGCAATGCCAATAATCCCAGCTCTCCAGGGGATCTGAAGACTTCAAGGTCATGCTCTGCTACATATTAAACTTGATGGCTACCCTGGGCTTACTTAGTGTCCTCCCAGAAAAAAAGGGGGGTTGGGCAAGGATTCATTCCCAAAGGGTCTAGGGGAAGAGCTCCGTAGATTCAGAACCCTGGGTTCTTGGCCTGCTCTGCTGTCTCCATGCCATCTTCATCTTGATCTCCAGCTTGGTCTTCAACTCCATCTCCGCCCTTGTCTCCGTCTTGGTCTTCATCTTGGTCCTCATCTCCATCTCCGTTCTCCTCATCTTCACCTTGGTACCCCTCTCCGTCTTGGTCTTCATCCCCATCTCTGTCCTCATCTCCATCTCCGTCCTCATCTCCATCTCCATCCTCATCTCCATCTCCGTCCTCATCTCCATCTCTGTCCTCATCTTCACCTTGGTACCCCTCTCCATCTTGGTCCTCAGGTGTGGAAGCAGACAGAGACCGACAATCTCTGGAAGGACTTCTCGGTCGTGGGGAGCTGGGAGGACTCCAGCTCTCCATCGCGGTCGCCCCATTTTTTTCACTTGTTCCAGGTTACAGATTTCACAACCGTGCTTATGGTTGATCGGGCAGCCTTTAGATTTACTGCAGTGGGTGTTGTGGCATTGGTAGAACACGAGGGCGATCCCGGTGTGGCTGTGCCCTTGGATTCTCGGCTGCTCATACTTCTCATTGTGAATGCTGAACCAGAGCTCAACTTGCTCCTCCTCCAGGTCTTCTGGAGGCCGGGGCCTTGAGAGCTTTGTGGTCAGGGTTGGGTTCCATCTTGAAATAGTCTTGCATGGAGAGGTGCTGGTCCTCCCGCTATGTGTAATGAAGCCCCGGAGGGTAGGGTTTTGGGGTGCACGGAGGTTACTGTTGGGCTGCAGCTGCCTTCCGGTATTTGAGGCTGCCGTCATAGTACCTAGGCTTGAGTCTGTTCATTTTGAGATTCCTCAGCTGGATCTCTCTACCTGCAGTCCTTCCGACCCCGACTCACTCTGCCCAGTGCAGTCCCTTCCCGCAGCGGGTGCACTCTCTGGGGTCGTGGCCTTCCTGGCTTCCTGTTTCCCCAATGGAGCAGCCACATGTCGTGCTGGTTTTTGTGCTCTTTGCTTGAAAAACCACCGTTTTAGGCCCCATCTTCCCTGGTCTGCAATCCAAAGAACACTAAGGCTCCAAAAGGGTTCCCCATTTCACCTGGACATATATTTTTTTCTTCTTATATTGTAAGAGAATCTAATTAAAAAGTCTTCTAAACTGAGTTTCTTTGTTTATGAAATAGGTTTAGCAGGAGAATCCACCTGAGGGGTGGATGAGTATTGTGATGAGGGACTACTTTGAGGTCATGTGATGTGAGTATAAACTGCTCAGTGTGGCTTATGGTTTGGTAGTGGCAGAAGGTAGGATTTCTGTTGTTATTAATAGTAGTCAAAATAGCAGCAGCATCATGTTTACCAAGATGAACAGGGTACAGGAAAAGAGTGTACTACAGAGGCAGGCTGGAGAGAGCACAGCAAGAAAACAGATCTTGTCCAAGACTGCCTTTCAGAGCCTGATTGCCTGAGTAGAGAAGGCGTCTTGGAAGGGTTTTGAGGGATCTTGACTATCTGAGCCTCAGTAGCTGTGAGAATGAATTTGCACTTGAAATAGGAAACAGGAAGGTGACAGTGAGTGTGGATGAGAGGCAGCTTGAGGGTGTGCTCTCCTTCCAGAAACCCTGTCATCTAATTGAAGAACAAACCACAGGGTTTTAAAGGAGGGAAAACAAATTGTTTAGTCCATGAAGGATAAATTTTCCAACACTGCAGTTCCTTTTGGTAAGACTATGTGTTGAACATTTTCTATTCTAACTTGGAATTAAAAGTTCTTTTTTAAGTCAAACAGTGAGACTTTGATGTGTCTGATCTTTTTCCCCCTAGCTACCTCTGAACAGTGAGGATGAGAATTATGAACTACACGTAACTGGACGTACCCAGGATATGATCTTATTCTCCAATAGCACACGCTTATCTTTTGAGATCAAGAGAATGTCTGTCTTCATTCAGACGGATAAGGCTCTCTATAAGCCAAAGCAAGAAGTGAAGTTTCGTGTTCTTACGCTCCTGTCAGATTTCAAGCCTTACAAAACACCGGTGAACATTCTCATTAAGGTAAGTGGGGGAGGGCAGAAATGAAGCAAGGAATTCAGGTCATCTCACTAAAGTTCTATTGGAATTTATGCTTGTGGTATTAACACAGTATTTTCTTAGAATTTCACCTCAGAAAAAGTTCCCTCTCTTGCAAGGGAGGTGGTAGAGTCTGGCTAGGAGCTGAGGCTCCAGAGTCAGTCCATTTAGGTGTTTTTTTTTTTTTTTGTCTTTTTGAGACAGGGTCTCCTGTAACTCCAGCTGGAACTCACTATGTAGACCAGGCTGGCCTTGAACTCACAGAGATCTGCCTGTCTCTGCCTCCTGAGTACTGGGATTAAAGGCATGTGACACCATACCTGGCCCAGTCCATTCAGATTTTAATACTGACTTTATCACTCACCTATTCATCAGTTACTGCTTTTCTGTAATTGGCACTGGTATAAGGTACTGAACAGAACACATTAAGTCTCTGCCCATGCTGAGTTTATTTTTCAGTGGGTACCCAGGAGATGGTGGATAACGAGCACACACCTACACATCTACATAAAAGGACAGATATTCTGTGTATTTACATGTATCTGTGACAAAGAGTGATGGGGATGAAGAGAAACAGACACAGGCAGAGGAAGTGAGAGTTTACGTTTGACACTTTATATAGCATTGCCAGGGAAGATCAACGTGAGCACAGATCTACAGGGAATATGAAATGAGTGAACACAGAGGGGTCAACACATGGAAATGCCTGAGACACTGAAGAAACAAGTTTTAGCCACTGGAGTCTGGAGACTGAAAGGACAAACATTAGGAGATGAGGTTCGTGCCACTACAGGATGGAGGGCTTGGACTCATATAGGATCTTAAAATTTTTTATTTATTATTTTTTATTTTATACATATCAGTGTTTTGCCTACTTGTATGTAAGTGCACTGGGTGTGTAATGCCCACAGAGGCTAGAAAAGGGCATTGGATCCCTTGGAACTGGAGTTATGGTTGGATGTTAGCCATCATGTGGGAGTCAAACCTGGGTCCTCTGCAAGAGCAGTCAGTGCTCTTAATTGCTGAGCCATCTCTCCAGCCCCTCATACAGGGTCTTGTTGATAAATTAATGGAGAATTCTGAGGAGAGGTGTGATATGGTCTGACCTTAAAAGGAGCAGCCTGATCACAGACTCTAGCTTTGTGACCTTGAGAAAATTAAGCCCTGTAAGCCATAGTTTCTGTAGTGTTGTTTGTGTAATAATTTTGGTGAGGATTAAGTGAGAGAATTCAAGTACACTGCGAACTGTGCCCTGTGTGCAGTACATGCTCACTGCTCATTCTTACTGTCATAGTCCCTCTGGGCAGGCAGTCTCTTCTGCTTGAGTACTCCAGTGGTGTGTTGGCGGCATGGTGAGCTGACTATTTTCCTGTGAGAGTCAAGTCGAAGACAGTGAGAGCCAGCCAGCTTGGTTTTCTACCTCTTTTTTTTTTTGTTGTTTTTGAGACAGGGTCTCCCTGTAGCCCCAGCTGTCATGAAACTCACTATGTAGACCAGGCTGGCCTTGAATTTACAGAGATCAGCCTGCCTCTGTCTCCCAAGTGCTGGGATTAAAGATGTGTGCCACCACGCCCGGCTTGGTTTTCTACCTTTAAGCTGAGAAGAAAACTAGACATTTGATAATCACATGATAATAGGGTGACCAGTCCATTCCAGTTTGCCTGAGATGCTTCTGATTTTAAAACTGAGTACCTGGTTCTGGGCAGACCCTCAGTCTTGGGACATTGGCTACCTTAAATGTTCTAATAAATGACAGCATGGAAGGTAAATTCAGGCTTCTTAGTTCAATATCCTTCTATTATTTATATTTTCTTTGTTGTTGTAAGTTAAAATAACCAGATTAGCCAAACAAATAAAAAAAATCCTGATGTGCTTTGCACTCTAAGCCAAGATAACATTTGTGGCAAATATGTTGACTGCATGGTGTTCAATACATATGCCTGAATTGAGCTAATATTTCCAAGGTTGTAGCTCTTTGAACTTTTGCCATTTTCAATGTAATGGGATGTCCCAAAGCAGGCTGACATGGTGCATAGCGTTTCTATCTCATGTGATTCTGAGTAAGGCTGAACTGACCACACTGTTCTTTGTCATTTAGTCACATGCACTGAGAACATACTATTTGTGTAAAATAGTTGATTTAGCAGCAAGTGTCTTCTTGCCTTTCACTGGCTATCTGACAACTAGGATATCTACCAACACAACTACTGAGGCTGTTCAGTGGTTTTTTTTTTAAATGGGAATCACTGACTGTTACTCATCCTGCCTGTCCTGTAACTAACCTCCACAGAAACAAGGAGGGCTCTAAAGGGTTCTCATCATTGGAGAAACATGCTATCCTGACAATTCTGTCTTACAGTTGGTTTGGCCTAACAGAACAGAAGTGAGTCCCTTTGACTCTGTGGTGGCAGCTGGTACAGCTGGCATCTACCCTGGACTTTCTGCTTTAAAAAGTTGCTCTGTGTGTAAGCAGATGACCTTGTGTGGGTGAGCTGTTTCTGTCATGGAGGGCAGATCCGGTGATTGTTCTCCAACACTCTGGCCTGCAGCAGCTGTTGCAATCTCAGAAATTCAGCCCTGGCCAGGTGACTGGTTACCAACCTGGAATGATTTGACTTCTTTTGTCCTGTTTGCTGAACAGACATGTACCTTGTGTATATGAACAGACATGTACCCTGTGTATAAGCCAGCACTCTAGAAACAGTCCTTGCAGACACATTCTCCAGCTAGGGAATGTATGTTTTGAGATAGTCTGGTACAGGTAACTTGCTGAGGCATGACAGAGACCTAGAGCCACCCAGAGGTGACTTGATTGTCAGGAGCTGCTCTGGCTGGGACAGGGTACCACTGGCACTGTATATGGCATGTTTTAGGTGAGATTCAACACATGACACCTGACAGTGCTGGGCAATGCCTTTGTGCTGTATGCGGGTGTGTTTAGATCCCATTGCGCTCTGCTAACACTTCTGTTTTGGTTGTATCTATGTGTCCTCTTTACTGGTCACAGTCCAAGTGGAAGACAGGCTTGGGAACCCAGAGAGACTATTTCATTCATTCCCCAGGTGCAAGTCATTCCCCTACACCCACAGCAGCTTCTTAAAGCAGAGACATCCATTCAGAGTTCTTTTGTTTGAAGGGCCATAACACCATCTGGGAGAAAAGGACACCCTCAGCACCATAATTCATCAGCAGAATTTAGACGTTCCTTTCTGTTAGATGATAGCACTGAGAATTACTGGTATTAGTATTTCTTAAATCTATGTCCAGCTGATAGAAGGAAACCAGTCCTTCATTGTTTTTATGCCCTTAATCAGTACACAGCATGTATTTAGTAGCTGTTTGTATTTCTCCCTGAGCCCTTTGGTGCCAAAGCTCATGCAGTCACAAGCACAGCAGAGCCAGCGGCTGGCTACAGTGCCTGACCCAGGAGTTTGCCCAGGAGGCAGTGACCTGCTTATTCTTGACCTGCTTCTGGTCACTGCTTTTAAGTTTTGACTCCTGGATGCTACTCCCTACTCAGTTCTCAGCATTGTGCTTGCCTGGAAGCTCCATATTGCTTCTCAGGGAGAGAGCCCTTTTCTGGCTTCTAGTAACTGGGCCAGCACACTGTTTGGCCAAAAGATAGGGAAGAAGAAAAAACAGGCAATCCCTGCTCTCAAGAGTTCATAGAAAATCAAAGTTCATACTGCAGTTGGAAATGATTTTTTTTTGTAAAATAAAAATACAAAAACTACATTTTACTGCCTTTCACAGAAATATACTCTGTGCAGCCAACAGGAAGCTGAGCTTATTTCACTAATAGACGAGGGAGGGAGGACATTGCTTCAGTGCTTGCAGACATCCAGTGTGGACTGCTGCAGTGAATAGCTAATGAATCTCTGTGCTGGGAGAAAGGTGAATCTAGAAATGTAGATGAACATGTGGACTGCATTCTGCAGACAAACAGCCGACGTCTCTGAGTGGCCTGCTATAATGATTATAACAGATGTTTCCTGGTTGCTTATTATTTGCCAGGATTGGTGCCAAGCATCTTTCCTAAGGACAGGATACACATGCACTTAGGCAGCCTTACATAGTTAATATGGTTGGTATTGTTTTGTTTTAGGATCTGAAGTCCAATTTGATCCAACAGTGGTTGTTTCAACAAGGTGATCTTGGAGTCATTTCCAAAACTTTCCAGTTGTCCTCTCATCCTGTACTTGGTGACCTGTCCATTCAAGTTAAAGTGAATGTAAGTATAAATATATTTTGGAGGAGAAAAAAATGATTTAAAATGTCCACATGGTGAAATTCTTCAAAGTCATTTTATGAGCAGAAGAAAAATGAATGTGAACATCTAGACAATATAAGTGGCTTGTTCTTTTGCTGTGCTCACCAATAGATTCGCCGTCATTACAGCATATCAGCAGACAGCCATCTTTTCTACCAGTGCTTATTAATTGCATGCATTGACTATTTTATTTATTTATTTATTTATTTATTTATTTATTTATTTATTTATTTATTTTTATTGGTCTTTTTGAGACAGGGTCTCCCTGTAGCCCCAGCTGTCGTGGAACTCAGTATGTAGATGAGGCTGGCCTTGAACTCACAGAGATCCACCTGCCTCTGCCTCCCAAGTGCTGGGACTACAGGTGTGTGCCACCATGCCCGGCGCATTGACTAATTTAGAACTGAGTAATGAGCACAGCTATTATTTGGCATGTTTTACATTTCAGAAAAATGATTCATGGTGAGTGATCAGGCTAACTTGCTTTGTCTTGTTATAAGAAGCAGGGACTTTACGTGGTCATGCTGACCTCTGCTCCTTAGTCCTTTCTCCCCAGAGCTCCCCCATACCTCCTGTGTTTGCTATAAGTATGAGCAGTTCTGTGATCTAATAGGGCAGGAGCATTAAGATGTCTTCCCATCTCTGTCTGCCTCAGCTTCTACCTTGTGCATTCACCGCGTGATACTTGAAGATCCATTCAATACTTTCCCATTTTTCTTTATAATAAGACATATAAAGGTGCTTACGAATATGAGCTTTAAACAATTCCATTGGTCTACGACCCTTCACTCTTGATATTTTAGATACAAATTCTTCATTGTGGGCACAGTTCTGGGCATTGTTTTGCTTTGTTATTTTGGTGGTGCTGAGGACTCAACCTTATACATGCTAGGCAAGCGCTCTCCCTCTCAGGCCTGTCCCAGCTTCTGGACCTGTGTATCATATGGTATTTAGCAGCATCTCTGGCCTTTATGTAATGCGTGCCCATAGCAGTTTCCTCTTCCTTTAAGTTGTGGCAGCCAAAAACATTGCCAAGTATTCCCTTGTGGGAGAAATGGCCTCCTGCTTCAATCAGAACCAATGAGCAACCATTAGCATATGATCTGAGGTAAGATAAGAGAACTCAGTGTTTAATCTCTGCCTCTTTAGGAGGTATCAACTTTAATTTTGGTTTTGAGGACTGAACCCAGAGCCTCATATAATCCAGGCAAGTACATTACCACCAAGCTAGACCCACAGCTCTGCCTCACGTTTTGTTTACATTATCACAACAGTCCTGAAAGCAGTTTTAATAAAATCCAGTTTCTTCTAGATCAGGAAAACTAAGATTGGAGAAGTTTTTTTTTAAATGATTTATTTATTTTTATTTGATTTGTGTACATGTGAGTCCTGCATGTGTGTATGTGACAGGTGTCCACAGAAGCCAGAAGAGGGCATTTGGGTCCCATAGATTTGGAGCTACGGGTGTTTGTGAATTGCTGTGTGGTTGCTAGAAACCAAACCCAGGCCCTCTGCAAGGGCAGCAAATGCTCTTAACTACTGAGCCACTTCTCCAGCCCTAGATTGGAGATGTTTAACAACTTTTCAGGAGACTCAGAGTTGGATAGAGAAAAGATGTAAGTTTTTTTTTTTTTTTTTTTGGTTTTTTTTGGGAA